ATGTTACAAGTTCAAATTTTGGTTTTGCCTGACCAAATCACTGTATTTCAATAATCATTGTGTCTGCAAGCATCTGCATGGAAAACAGGCTTTTTGGTAAGTGGATGGATTCTTACCCATCTACAGGAGGGTGCATTTGCTGTATTCTGAGTCCCACCAAATGAGTAACATTTAAATGACTATCTGTAAAAACTTATATGTTTTATTAAACCATTAATACCCACCATTCCAAAAAATAGGATGGTGTTCATTAATTGAATATAGGAATAAACCTATAATAATGGGTTTTTAAAAACCTATAATTAAAAACTTTTCTATAAATATTTACATGGTTACTGTACTGATGAGTTTTGCTCTTTGATATCATTACAAATTTAATCACAGTATTAGATTGGTGGCTGGGTCTCATCATTTTACACCCCTAACAATTTCTTCTTTTGCGCTTCTCGCTTGTGGAACTCTCTTCTGATTTTTTTAATTTTAAGTCAACTTTGATCTTCAAAAATTTAAATGGAATGTCAATTGTCATCAGATGTCTCCTTAAACTCTGTTCTTTTATTGTTCTCTCTTCTTAATAATGATGTTCTCTCAGTTTATTTCACTCTCCATAGCCCCTAGCATCTTAGTGGCTTTATTACCTAGAAATCTATAATTAATATTTCTCGCTTTGTAACTCTCTTGCATTTTAATGTTTTCCAGTCAAGTTTGATCTTCAAAAATTTAAATGCAATGTCAATCATTATCTTCTGTCCGCTTAAATTCTGTGCATTTATTGTTCTAATATCTTAATGTTTTATTTGTATTCTCTCACACTCAGTAACCCCCTTGTGTGTTAGTGACTTTGTTGCCATGTTTGGGGTGAAATGATTAAAAACAAAAAAAAACAAACAAACAAAAAGACTGAATTTTAATTAATGGTTTATACAAGTACATCAACATTTTCATTAACTCTAATGATTATATATACAGTAAAAGAGTAAATGTACAATTGTTTAACTATTAATGCATATGAAGGTAGAATGAAATGGGAAAAAACTTTTCTCAACCTGAAACTACTCAATTGTAACACAGCGGAATGCAATTTGAAAATAATATCAAGTTTGCTTCCAAAGCAAGCTGTGAAGAACTTAAGGATATTTGTGATTATTTTAAAATAGAAATGAAACAACCAGGGGGTCAATTCACATTTAGCAAAACAGCCAAGAGAAATCATTATCATTCCAAAAAATTTTTTTAAGGCAATTGAACTCTATCTTTTGTGTGTGTATGTTGTTTTTTTTTCACAAAATCATTCAGCCAAAACGTTCTCTGGCCTTCTTTAAAGAATACTGTCCATGTATAAATAGTTGACACTTTTCTGGCATTGAAATCTAGAAAATAGCAAACCAAAAGTAGGTTGAGGAAAAGAATATAAAATAATTGGAATACACCAATGACAGTTTGAAAGTCAGCAAGAGGTTTGCAAATGTACGGACTCTTTATTAAAATTGTGAAAGTTCAAAGAACCAGTTCTTAAATTCCTTTGCTCTTTATATCTGTTGACAAACAATTTAAAGATGTAAAAAGAAAAAAAAAACTAGTTTCTAATTCCATAGGCAAAGAATGTCAAAAGAAACCTGAACCTGTTCCTAATATCAAAGACAAAAACTTTGTGAGAAGATATTCTTAAAAATGTGAATCCTACCGCAGGTAAGAGTTTGATATAAAAGGAAACTGAAATTAAGATGAAAGAAATCTTAATTGATGAAAATTCCTTGACTTATTGGCTAGATCCTTTAATCTGACCGGTGGAGCTTTTGTTATCCTGCAGGGCCATTGTATGGAATTCTTTGCTTAAAAACAATTTAAAATCATAAATTATTCATCCCACAATATTGTGGCACCCTATGAGGATCAAATATACTTGTTGGCAAGAAATGCAGTTATCATTGTGCTATAGTATATTTTTTGTATGTTCTCAAGTTCGCTCAAGAGATGCTCAAGGTAGAAGGTTACTGTTAAAATGATGAATGAAGAGGATTGAAAGAGGAAGTGGTAGGAACGGAATATTATGAGGATAAGGATAAATGGCAATTGACTCAATGTTCAGATTGTAGTATTCAGGGAAGCATCCATGTGGGAGTCTGTTCTACCATATAACAGTATATGGGGGTAAAAACCTGTCTGAGTAGAACTTCTTACATTTGGAATACAGGGGAAATGAGGATGATTCGATACTGTGACAGTAGCCTGGTATGTCTTAGTTGTTTGTAAAGGTCTGAACAGCTGGAACTAAAGAACTATGGAAATAGCGATAGGCTTGCATTGTTGTTTCTTTGGGAAAGAGGCTGCAGATTAGAGAAAATGTACCACAACCCCACCACTACCACAAGACCTTGTAAACAATTTTGAACTCTATCAAGGCTGGAAAGATGCCTAAGAGAAGTATCATAATACAGACTTTTCATTTATATAAGTAATTTTATTTATATATAACTAAATGCATTTTGGATATTTTAAAGTGGGATTTCTTTTATGAGGGGTACTGAAAAGTAGAAGTACTTAATAAAAATAAAAATCTGATGTTTTTTGGTCAGCTTTTCAGAAGTAGGTTGGCTGAGAAGTTTTCCACACCATCTCTCATACATATGCGTGTACACGTTTTTTATGCACACTGTCTTACCGACAAGGAATTATTCATTTAGATGACATTCACTTCCACACCTGTGTAGAGAATATCTACTTTGGATCATCCTTTTCTTTTATCTTTTCTGTTTGATGTGATTGTCTCTTCTCATCTTGTTGGGCCATCTGTGGCTAGTTTTCTTGTCACAGTTAAACTGTCACTGGACTGTGTGAGAGGTGACTTGCTCTTGCAAAATCTCTCTCTCTCACACACACACACACACACACACACAGTTACTTTCTTCTCTATAACAAATCATTCTCCTCTTCTGCTTCTGTTGCCATGCTAACCGAAGAAAAGAAGTGAATTAGTTGTAAGACAGACATTACTCAAAAGAATTCCTGACATCTCCTTTCCCCTCTCTCCTTCTCTCCTTCCCTCCCTCTCTCACTTACTTATCACCCTCCCCATTTTCTAAGGCATTATGTCTCACTGAAACATTTTACTGACTTCGGACATGTTATAGCACTTACTTTGGGATTGGCCTATCGTCACATTCCACATTTATTACTTTCACTATGACAAACTGCTTGAATTAGTGAACAACAATAAGACCTGAGGCAGGTGGAGAAGTCTTGAACAAACAAAATGGTTGATCATATAAAAGTAAGTGGTAGATGTTTACCCTTTATTCTAATGAAAATCAACCTTAGATCTTTTTTCTTGAACATTTCATCCCAAGCAAGAGAATAAAGCCACTAAGATGCAAGGGGTACTGATTGTAAAAGAATATGGAAAAAAAAAAAAAGGAAAACATTATTTAGGAATGAGAGCAATAAAAGAACAGGAATTAAGAAAACAGAAGATAACAATTGACATTCCATTTAAATTTTTGAAGATCAAAGTTGACTAGAAAGCAAGAAGAGAGTTCCACAGGCAAGAAGTGTGAGAAAAGAAACTGTTAGCATAGAACTTACAGTTACATCTAGCCATTTTAACTGTAAAATAATGAGAGCTTGCTCTCAATCTAGTCAGTTATGTGCCATGCGTGATACACACTTTGGCAATCATGTATCTTTCAATACATGACTGATGAGGCAGATTTTTTTTTTACCCTCAGTAGGTTGCCATTTCTTTCTGCAGTAGACCACTTGCTATCCATGGCTATAGAACCTGGACTGTCTTGCTATTTACCCATAGCTTGGGGGAGAGGAGAAGATTCATGCCTTTCCCAAGGGTATTAGCACATAAGTGAATGTAATGGTATACCCTACAATATGGTATAACACCTTGTGAAATTTACCGAGTAAATCCTGATAGATTCAAACAAACAACCAATATTTACCTATTCCGAAACCAAGTAAATACTTAGAGATCCAATTATAAATGAATACTATTTACCTATTTCCAAATTAGATAAAAGCTTAAAGACTCAAAACTAGTTTTTCATCTGTGTATTCAGCCATTTTCTTTAGTCTTAGCAACTTTTGTATGCACCTAACAAATAAGCTTTCTTGTGTTTTCTTCTTTATAAGTGTTTTATTTATTGGTTCTGTGGTAGAATTCTTTGATTTATTTTTTAACTTAAAACTGAAAACTCCCAGACTAATTCTGCTTTTTCCTCCATTAGTTAGTTAGCACATATGTAGAACCTTGCCATTACCTCAGATAAAGAATAGACCATTCCCTTTTGATCACAAAGAAAGATTAAAGAAAAAGTTATATCAGAGATGTATAAGTTTAGTGAGAAAACAAAAGCATATATAATAATAAAAAAAGAAATGAAAGATACAGAAGGTTGATAACACTTCTTCATTTAATGTCTGCTTCAGTGAAATGTAAAACATTATCAATTTTGAATTTTTTCATTTGGTGCTTATTTAAATAGTGACCTGCATTCATATTTATGATTATTATTGCTATATTTTATCAAAATTCTTAATCTGAAATATTCAATGATGCAATAAGGTCCCCCTAGTATTTTATATCCGGGGGAACTGACAAGGAGCTTATACCATCATTAAATTAAGAATTCTGAATTAGCAGAAAAGTGAAATTTTCACAGGTACTGTTAGATTACATTATTTACATTTAAACTAATATACTCATCATTATTGTTGTTATCACTGTTTCGACATTTATGCCCTCTAGAGTTCTTCAGGTATCTGTCAATCCAGGTAACGTTTAGGGAATTTCAAACTAAACTCTTTATTTAATCTGTTGAGATAGGCTGTTCTTGTTCCACTATCTATGTCTTGTGATAATTTGTCTTCATAAATAAAAGAACTAAAAAAGAACCAAACAGGTTAAATAAACATATATAGTGCAAAGAAAAATAGATGTGATTTGTTCCAAAGTAGATATTAAGTAACAGTGGAATAAGCAGGAATAAGAATCACAAGACTATGCAAAGAGGTTCAAGTTGAGAATGGTTTTCTGATTTCTTGTGAAAGCACTTAAACCTGATGCTGCCTATATAGACAGATGGAAACCTTATACAGAAAGGAAAGAAAAAAATGAGGAAAAAGCCAGAAAAGAAAGAAAATGTAAAAGTGAGGAAGAACGAAGAAAAAAAAACGGCAGAAAGAATCAAGAAAAGAAAAAATATGAAAAAGGAAGGAAGAAAAGAAGGAAAAGGAAAAAGTGAGAAAGAATGGAGAAAAGAAAGAAATTGAAAAAGGGAGGAAGAATCAAGAAATGAAAATGAAAAAGGAAAGAAAAAGCCAGTAAAGAAAGAAAAGAAAAAAGAGAGGAAAAAGCAAGAAAAGAAATAATAAAATGAAAAGGGGAGGAAAAAGAAAGAAAAAAAACAAGGAAATAATAAAATAGAAAGAGAAGTTAATATAGATATTTCCTGAAAATTGGTTGGCAGAAACTAATTTCAGATGCATACCAATTTTATTCATTTACTTTTTGCTTACAGTTAAAATTTATCTATCCATTTATCTATCTATTGGGTAGAGTCAGAAGTAATTTCCGTTTTGGAGAACCAATTGTAATTAAGAATGTTCCTAAATGTTCCTTAAATATATCATAAAAGTTAATGAAAAATGAGTTACATACAACGGTGTGCAATGGAAAAGGCAATGGATTGATAAGGATACATATCCAATAATAACACCAAAAATGAAACTCCTTTTAAGAAAAGGTAATGTTATGCATATGGTGGGATCATTGGGGTATTATTCATTTAGAGTCCTATTACACTGATTGCCAATCACAAGTTAATTTGTGGTTGGCAGTTTTTATTATGATGCTGACTATAAGTTATCTCATGATAATATTCTGATACATTTTCATCTGCGGGCGCCAATAACGAGTTCGTTCACAATGATAGTGTGAAAAAAATGTTAAGACTTCAGTTGAAGCTATAAATCAACTCATAAACATTTTTTATTACCTCATTTGGCAATTATGAAGTTGGCATTTGCAGCTAGATTTCATAATTGACAGTCAATGAGTTAAAATGCAGTGAAACATTAAATGTACATTTATATGTTCAGCAGCTGCAACATGTCCATAAAAGTTTAATGAAAAAGCATCAAATATTTATTAATAGGAAAAATGTTGTTTTCCTCCATGATCACAGGTATGCATACAGCAAAAACAACACAGGAAAATATTTTGGAATTCAGTTGGTCTGTTCTACTCCATCTCCCATATTCACTTAACCTTGGACCAACTAATTATCTTTTTGATTGCTGCAAAATGCTTTGATGGAGAAAATCTTTACCAATGAAAACTAGATTCAAGAGTTGGTTAAAAACTTTTTTCACATCAAAACCTGCGGAATTTTGCTCAAAAGGTATCAGAGAACTGCTTAATAGGTGGTCACAATTCATTGCAAATAATGTTGAGTATGAAATAAAATAAAATGTAATTGCGCTTATTTTTGTCTTTTCTTAGGAATAAAATTTAAGAAACAAAAACCAAAAATTATTTATATATATATGGGAACAGAAAACTTTCATCTAAGTTCTCAAATTTGGAATGTGTACGTATAGGGAGGCATGGTAGATGAATACATAGCGGCTCAGATTGAGGAATTGGAGAGCCGAGTTTGAATTCTAGTCGAATCCATTAGATTCAGTTACGTGCTAATACCCTTGAGAACAGTATGAATCGTCTTCTTCTCTCATCCCCCCTCCTCACACTATGGCTAAATAGCAGGGCAGACCGGGTTCTATAGCCTTGGATGGTAACTGGTCTACCACAGAAAGAAATGGCAACCTACTGCGGGTAAAAAAAAAAAAAACTGCCTCGTCAGTCATGTATCAAAAGATACATGATCGCCTAAGCATGTATCACACATAGCACATAACTGACTTGTCTTTATTGGGCCCAGGGAAAGGTTTTAACATATTTTTTTGTTCCTTCTGAGTAAATGGGAGCCTTAAGTCTTTTGTCATCTGAAAGTAAAGTAAGAAATGTATTTATTTTTGAATTGCTGTATATTTTTTTCTTACAGGGTTTCAAAGCTGGAGAGTTTGATAATAAATAATCCTTAATCATATCTGTTTTTGATTATATAATATTTCAATACAAATAATATATGATCATATCTGTTTTTGATTATATAATATTTCAAAAAAAATAGTATATAATCATATCTGTTTTTGATTATCAATAAAAAAAATAATATATAATCATATCTGTTTTTGATTATATAGTATTTGAATAAAAATAATATAATGTTGGTATGTTTGATTTAGAAGAAAATTCATCTTTATAACAAAAACAATATTAGTAGGAAAATACTTTTGATGAGTGAATACTGTATCTTTTATAATAACAATTACTGACTTTCTAGTGTAATGCTATAATTTCTCTTTTATTATCATTGTTCAGAAAAGAAAAATATTTGTGTATGTTTTAAAAAAACGATTTAACTGAACAATTTACTCAGGGAAATATTTTCTACTTCATTTTATTATTATTATTATTATTATTAAAAACTTAGCAGAAACAAATACAATCTATTTCCTGTTATTTTAGGCTACCAATTACTCTTTAAAAAACACCAACCATACTCATGACCAATGTCATTTGCTTCCTGGGTAAAACGATAAACTACATCCAACAGTAAAGTCTCTGATCAGGAGGTTTTGAAGAATGCAGAACCACCTCTTAATTGCTGATGTTCCACCCTGATTTGGGGTGGTAGCACCTGTTAGGGTCCCAAAAACACTATGAAAGTGTAAAAATAGGTTTTAATACCAGTAGCAAATTTTTTGAGGAAAAATTATTACCAGCAATACATTTTTCAAGAAAATAAATATTACCAGCAATAAATTTTTGAAGGAAAAAATATTACCAGCAATAAAAATGTTGTCGGCATTAAATAACCCATTGAGGTTGATAAGCCTTAAAACAAAACAAACCAATGTCATTTAAAATGTGATAAACAGAAATAAAAATAACAAAGTTTACTTGACAACAACAATATTCTTTATTTATATTATTTGTTTCACCTTCTACTGACAGACACTAGTTATCATCTCACTATCAGAACTACTGAAAGTTTTTATTGTCATTTAAACTATCTATATAAGTCCTGAGCTCTTATTTAACATAGACAAGGACTACAGTTAATAAGTAACATATTGTCAGTTATAATTCTAATAGTCATATCTCCTAGAACAAGTATAGTCGGTACATATTTAAATAAGGTCTATTTAGTATCCATGCATTATATATATATATATATATATATATATATATATATATATATATATATATATATGCAGCAAGTGTTCATCCAAACAAATTTGATTAAAAAGAACCATCAAGGTCTGTCTGTTTCTTTTTTATTATTGTATTTTTCCAATTTTTGAAGAAATTGTCTATTAGGATGGAAATTATGGATAAACTGTACAAATTTCCCTCTACTGCCTTAACTGGGTATTGAACTAACACTCTTTGGGTCAAACATGGCACGTGGAACTAGAACAGTCTACCCCAGTGAGCGAAATAAAGGTTTCAGTTCGACATTCCAACCACCTGAAGAAGGCCGGAACATACAACAGCCGAAACGTTGTGATAAATATGGCGACAAAGATGAGGACAATAGTCCGAATAATGTAAATAATGTACATAATACCTCACCTCAGAAATATAGACAAACTGTACAAAGTTCAAGTTTGTTCTGTTGTTTTTGTTCAAATGTTTTCAATCATTCTAGTCATTTTCAAGAACCATGTACTGTCCGTGTAATAAGCAAGATTCCATTGGCCAAATACTTTTTTCTATCATGCAGAGTTACAAAGCTATTTTAAACTGTACACTGATTTTATGGGCACACTCTGTGTGTGAGTGTGTGTGTGTGTGTGTGTGTGTGTGTTCTGGACCAGCTTAGTGGATGTAAGAGTTGCACATTTTCACCCACCGGTAGTGTTCAAGTCCTGGATTTAAAATGTTAATTTCCCAGAAAAGAAATCTGTCTTTGGAAAATTGGTGCAATACAATTCTCTCCAAGCTTAACTAAGCTTCATAAATATCTGTCTCAGTTTTTTTATCAATCAATCTATCTATCTACCTAATTCAGTTTCTTCATATCTATATTCATATCTAAGTATGTTCAGATATATCTCTATCTCAGTCTCTTCATATCCGTTTATTTATCTGCCTTTCTTCATATCTAGCTAACTAGATATCTCAGTCTTACAAATCTATCAATCTCACCCCATTTCTATTCATCTATATTCACATATGTCCCTTTTTGTCTCACCCTAATCATATCTATCTATCTATCTATCCCATTCCATTCATATCTATCTATCTCATTCCATTCATATCTATCTATCTATCTCATTCCATTCATATCTTTCTATCCTATTCCATTCATATCTATCTATGTATCTATCTATCCTATTCCATTCATATCTATCTATGTATCTATCTATCCTATTCCATTCATATCTTTCTATCCTATTCCATTCATATCTATCTATGTATCTATCTATCCTATTCCATTCATATCTATCTATGTATCTATCTATCCTATTCCATTCATATCTATCTATGTATCTATCTATCCTATTCCATTCATATATATCTATGTATCTATCTATCCTATTCCATTCATATCTATCTATGTATCTATCTATCCCATTCCATTCATATGTATCTATCTCATTCCATTCATATCTATCTATCTATCTCATTCCATTCATATCTATCTATCTATCTCATTCCATTCATATCTATCTATCTCATTCCATTCATATCTATCTATCTCATTCCATTCATATCTATCTATCTATCTCATTCCATTCATATCTATCTATCTATCTCATTCCATTCATATCTATCTATCTATCTCATTCCATTCATATCTATCTATCTCACTCTAATCATATCTATCTATTTACCTCATCTGACAGATCCTTGGGGTGGTAATGGTGATTGCAACATATTACTTGGGCCACAAAAAGGGCAAGAAAAAAATGAAAATTTTTTATCTTAGAATTATCATCTGTATAATAAAATGTTTGTTATCAAAATCTGTTGGCCCTTAATATTTCATGATATATGTACCTTGTCTTACATTACTGGCAAACTGACTAGCATGACCCAGTGCTGGGTCACCGACTCTTCCATTAAAGATCACTGGTCTAAGTCTATTGAAATGGATTGCTTAGTGCTGGATTGAGGGTGAAAGTGTTGGTCTGATTAAGGTACAAATCCCTCCATCTTGTGACTCATTTGTGTGGCATTTGTTTACATATTTAATCTATGAATGTATATGAAGAGAAAAGAAGAGAAGAAAAAAAATGACTGAACGAGCAAGTGTTCATGAAGTAATTACTTCTCAATGTCATTTGATCAAAGATTAATAGATCAGAGATGTATTGATCTGTAGTTGCTTGCACGCGAGCTTCTAAGGTCTAAGTTGCTGATCGAAAAATACACATAGATAACTTTGTACGTAAATAAAGATTACACATATGCATTAATACATATGTTAGCATATGTGTATGCATACACTCTCTTTCTCAATATATATAAAGATTACAGACATGCATTCTTCTGCATATTGCAACATATGTGTACATGTACACACATGCCTATATATATATATGTATAATTAAAGGTTATAGATAGGAATTATGTGTTGTCACAGTCTTTCACTTTATTTCTCTCTCTCCAAATATACACACGCACACATCTCTCTCTCTCTCTCTCTCTCTCTCTCTATATATATATATATATATATATATATATATATATATATATATATATAAAGATTATGGATATGCATTATTATGTGAGTTGGCGTGTATTCATATACACACACATATTACACATTAGTATTATGGAACATGTGTATGCTATATATATATATATATATATATATATATATATATATATATATATATACCCCTTTTAATGCATATAGACCCACCCTCTCTTAGTTTAACATGTGCTTAACTGTATGTATAAATGTATTTATCTGTCTATATCTACTTTTAATGTATCTGTCTAATATGTGGGGGGGGGGGCAAAGTTCTCAGCTTTACCAAGAAGGGATTCACAAATAAATTTATCCATTTGTTTATATTTTTGAAAATGGTTTCAGCCTGAGAAATTTCCAATGCTTCCTTTTGTCTCACACACACACTTAACCATATGTGCCTGTCATTGCATTTTCTCCTGGGTGATTATATAAATGTGCTTGTGTGTAAGTCACATATCTTTCTATATGTATATTACTTATATTTGCATATGCGTCACATACTTCTCTCCCCTTTCATATACACATGCATTTATGTGACATGCGACTAATGATGTCATTTCTAAGGACCATGTTTATGTCAGTGTTGATAGTTTAAGGGCAGTGAAGGTGATGTCAGTATAAAGTAGATGTTGATCAAGAAGATAGCAAAGATAAAAAAACAGATTTTTCAAAAAGATACTGATAGAGAAACATGTAGATTGATAGCTTATGCGCGTTCATGAACATCTAAATGTTACGAATAATTTGTCTCTTTTTTTTAAGGAGTCTAAATGGATGGAATAAGAATTTGAATGGGATTCTCTTCCCTTCCACTTATCTGTATTAATAAATAGTGTGTAAGGAGTGGGTATAGCTTAATTAATCCATCATTATAGCTGTATGTATATTTCTTTATCAAGATATACTTTTATCTTTTCATTTGTAACTATTGGTGAATGCGTACATAATTCCACAATCTAGCTAAGATATAATTCTGTAATGTAAATGTGCATATTTAAGTGTCCATGCATGTATATATGTGTGTGTGTGTATATATATATATATATATATACACATATATAATACACACAAAGCCATGCCCAAAACATGATGGCTCAGAATCATCGCTACTACTAAAATCCACAAATAGTACATCTCACACAGTCAAAAAATGAAAATAAACTAACTACACCAAAAACAACCCCCTTGAGCTTTGGCTAAAGAGGTGGCTGAAAGTGCTTGAGACAATCGACAATATGGACAGTTTTTGTACTCCCACGCTCCCACCAAACAGAAAAATATAATAACACTGAAAAATCTAAATAAAAAAAAAATGAATAAAATTTTCTTTGTTCATCATATTTAACAAAAGTTGTTTGAGAGGAATGTTGCTTCACAAATATATATAAGTGTGTGTGTGTGTCTGTGTGTGCATATATATATATATATATATATATATATAATGCTTCTTTTATGTTTCATTAAAAAATTATATATATATATATATATATATATATATATATATATATATATATATAATGCTTCTTTTATACAAGTTTCATTAAAACTTGTGACAAGGTACTGCAGTTATGTTTTTATTTAATTTTTCTTGGGTGTGTATTTTTTTTTTTTTTTTTTTCTGGACAAAAAGTTTTAAAAGTAAAAATAAAATCATGCTTGATAATGGCTAAAAAAAGAATAGCTAAAAGTCTTTGGACATATAGGACATTCAGACAATTTCTACATACTTTATTTCCAGAAAAGAACAAAATTATACCAACACATGAAAAAATTAAATAAAAAACTTAACCCCAGTATCTTGTCTATCATTTTATATTATTTATTTACTTTAGGATACTAAAACATGTTTAAAATCACTCCAAGTTTACATTATATAATTTACTCAGATAAGCTCTATATATCCAAGTAAACTATATGATGGAAGCTTCTAGTGATTTTTAATGTGTTTTAATATCCTAAAATAAATAATATTTAACTCTATTCTGTATTGAGCCCACTTTTAAGTTAAATGCTACTTACAGTAGAATTCTACTCCATTTGTCTTCATTTTGCCTGGATATGTTTCCATGAAATAAAAGTTATAAATGAAATGCATAATTACATAGCAATCTCTATAGGTTATTTAATGCCGAAATCTGAATATTTTGTACACAATTTTATTTTAATTTTTTGGAGGAGATAATGATTAGCAATACAAATCTTATTAGTTAACCCATAGTTGTGAGGAAAAGTGGTGAATTCATACCTTTACCAAGGGTATTTGCATGTAAGTAACAAGCCCAGCTTGAATTGGAACTCGGCTCTCCACTTAACAATTCTGAGCCATTATCCACAATACTACCCACAAATTCGACCTGGTCACCCATCACTCGACATTGGTTAACTTTGGTGATCTTATGGGAACCAATGTTGTGATATGATCTAGCTATACACCGTGTGTGTGTGTGTGTGTGTGTGTGTGTGTGTGTATTTATTGGCTGAATTTTGATCTGAAATTTTAACTGTATAATGTTTGATTTATATAGCTAATATTCATCACTGAATTAACTGCATTAATGACAATAATGGATATAAATTTTTTTCTCGATGATAGCACAATTCTTGTGTTCCATGCACAATGCAATCATCAGGTGCCGTCAAGATTCAAATTATACAATAGTAAGTTTTCAATCAGCCCCTGACGATTGCATTGTGCATGAGACTAAACAGTTGTGAAACCAGTAAGAAAAAAAATGTATACTTATTATTAATATAAATTATAGCTCTGTTATTATACATTGAGCACTATTTTATTAGCACCAGCATTCAAGGTATTATATATATATATATATATATATATATATATATATATATATATATATGATTTGTATATTCCTTTTCTTATGTATATAGGAGTGATCTATTTTAAATACTTTTAATTCTTGTCTAGGGGAAACAAACACCTATCTTGAAAATTTCACTGTGTGAAACACTTATTTGGTAAATAATCAAAAGATGTTATTTTTATGCTCACACGCACATACACGCGCACATGGCATCGCATTGTAAAAAATGATTTCTGTCTGTTCTCAGCTGTCACTCATCTGCAGGTGATATGTGTATACATAAAATATGGATAGATAGACATACAGGAGAATGTGATTAAAAGTTTTGTGTTTGCCAAAGAAGGTATTCCCAAAACTAATGTTGAAAATGCTGAAGTTTGTCATATTTTGGTATCAGAATGACATTTTTATCATCTACACTCACGCACACACACACACACACAGCCTGAAGATTGTGTTCAAGCATGAAACGGACTGCTCAGTGTTGACTTCAGTGTATACTTTTATATTTACATACACCCTATCTGTGATATTGTACACTTTTACTCATAAATATCAGTCAGTTATGTGCCATGCATGATACACGCTTAGGCGATCATGTATCTTTCATGACTGATAAGGCAGATTTTTTTCCTGCAGTAGCTTGCCATTTCTTTCTGTGATGGACCAGTTGCCATGCAAGACTACAGAACCCAGTCTGTCCTGCTATATACCCATAGCTGTGGGGAGAACAAGAGGATTCATACCTTTCCCAAGGGTATTAGTACCTAACTGAATGTAATCAATCTGACTGGAATTTGAAAATTGGCTTTCCGATTCCTCAATCCAAGTTTATAGCATACCTTACTCCACTGTCCCTACTCCATAAATATAGTATACCTTAAAACTATATTTTTATTACACACACACACGCACATATTGGATTACAAATATGTTTTTTGTATACTTTTTATTTAGTTGACATGTAGGAACACAATAAAGTTTTTGAAAGAATCACAAAAAAAATTAGATTGCCCCATCAACCTTTGTCAATACAATACATAGTACTATATATATATTTATATATATATATATATATATATTCACACACACACACATATATTTTATATATATATATATATATATATATATATATATATATATATATATATATATATATATATATTCACACACACACACACATATATATATATATATATATATATATATTCACACACACACACACACACATATATATATATATATATACACACACACACACACATATATACACACATATATTCACACACACACATATATATATATACACATATATTCACACACACACATATATATATATACACATATTCACACACACACATATATATATATACACATACATATATTCACACACATTCACACACA